ATAAATGAAAATAAGTTGAAACTTGATGAACATAAGATTTATGTGTTGCATATCTTTCTATATGAGCATGTATGATGCATGAAGATGTGGTATCCTATTCCTGATGATTTATTTTTTTGAAATTAATTACTCTGATTTTTATTTTAATTACTGACGGGGGAATATGGTGTTACATTTGGTATCAAAGCAGGTCGGTCGGTCTGACCAAGTTGTTGAGTCTGTAGTGTGACAGTTGAATATTTTTGTTGTTTTATTCCATAGTATGCAACATGCGTTTGAAACAATGTTGGTACTTTCTTGTTGTTCTAATCACTTGTTTTCAGGAGGGAGATTGAAACGAGTGGGGGAGAAGATGTTGCTTTTCAAGGAGGTTTTAGTTATGAGGTGTGCATAGTTGGTTCAGGCGCGAACAATTGGTTTAGTATATCGTGAATTACATGGGTGCCGATGTTAGTGCTACTGAGTTGTTTTCTGATTTTGAAGTAAGTATGGATTTGAGAATTATGCCTAATGGATAGTCGAAGTGTCCTTGAGAAGGAATGATCAAGTACTCGTGTTGTTCACATCTCTAAGAGTGGAGGGTGATGTTATGGATAATGAAGTGCCAGTTGTGGGTGAGTTTTGATGTCTTCCCGGGGGCAATTACGACTTGTCGTTAGAAAGAGATGTTGGATTAACTTAATGTTATCTTTGGAGTGAACTGTTTAGAGTTAGACAAAATGATTATGAATTATTTTGATGAGTCAATGCATATTATTATGCTAGAAGATATATGTTAAGAAATAAGGATAACTCTTAGAATGTGGAACTCGTATGATTATAATGTTTTCAGCACTACATGTTGATCGTGAAGTTGTCAATGTTAAGTTACCATTGTGCGTGATGTCATTGTTCAGAATAATGTTGGAGTGATGAATTGCTGGGAATTTTGCTGTTGGAATCATGTAAGCGGTTGTTGAATGTTATTAATGTTGTTGAGTATTTATGAATCGCGAGACAGAGTCCGAACTCAAAGGTATTAGTAGTATTGTGAAAATAATTGGGATATTGATGTTTTGGTATGATTAGGAGTGAATGTTGGTGTTTAAATTGGTGAGATGTATTTGACGTGTCAGTGATGGAATTGATGCGATATAATTGAGTAATTGCATACTTAAATGTGTTACTTTGTGAATTGGAACATTGATAATGATGTATATAGATAGAAATTATAATTTGGAACATGAATGATGAAGTATGTGGATGTTAGGGATGTTTAAGTACGAAATAAGTGGTTTTCGTAACATAAAAAATCTGATTTTTTTACTCTGGTTCAATGGTAACCGGTTACTGGAATTGAGTAACCGGTTAGCGTTAAAAAATTAACCTTTTGGCTGTTTTTAGGGGTGTAACTGGTTACCACTATGAGGGTAACTCGTTACTGCTGAGTTGATAATATTTTGTAATTCTTTGAAAAATTTATAACTTGAGTTTTAGACGTCCGATTTGAGTTTCTTTGAAGCACTAGAAAGCTAATGTGATGAACTTTGTTTTAAAAATTATTCCAGAACCTGGAAGTAATTTATTTGTCACGTGAAGAGGTTGGATGAGAGGCATAGTTTGATGTTGATCTCGTTCTTGGTACCAGACTTGTTCCTATGGCACCATACATGATTTCAGCTCAAAGTTGAGAGAATTGGAGGATTTATTAGAAGATGTGCAGAGAAATATATTTGTAAAACTGAGTGTATCATTTTGGTAGCTTTGATGTCATTAGTTAAGGAGAAATAAAGTAGTATGAAATTTTATGTGGATTATCGATAACTGGTATAAGTAGTGATTAAGGGTACAAATCCACTTCAAATGATTGACGATTTGATCGTATCAGATAGGATAAACTTGTCTTTCTTGATTGATAGTGAGTGAACTGAATTGACGTATTAACTAGAAGTTTGTTATTCACCATTATGTGTGAACCTAATGCAAAAGTGAACCCTTATTTTCTGGTGGATGCTAAAGAGAGTTTAAAGATAGACGTGGAACTTGTAGGTATGACGGTTGACAGGAATCAAAATGGGGACATTGACTTTGAGGTAACTGATCAAATTGGTATAGCCAAAGCATGAATGTGGAACACTTCCTTATGCGTGTATGACTTATTAGGAGTCGAGGGTTAAATATTAGATGACTGAAGGAATGATGCAAACCCACTGATATTCAAGAATGGAAGTGATAGGTGGAGGGTTTGTATGTTTTTCGTGTTGCTGACATGTCAATAGAATATATTGAATTGTGTGTTCGATTAGTGAGATATAGCATTGTAGTTCTGGTGTGTATGTGTGTCACCATTGTCGATATTATGGTTAAGTTTATGTGCTTATGACGATATTTTCGTGTAATGAAATGATAGATTTTTTATCCTAGGATGCTGGAACGAGGAGTGAGATGAACTGGTGCGTTCATAACTTGATAGAAAGAAATTTTGTGAGATCATGGTGGTTGACTAGGTGAGATGTTGGTTAGTAATACTTGAAATGATGCAAAACATGACGTGGGAGTTAGAAGGAAGGATGTGATAGTCATATCCAGAGTTGTTAGTATCAGGTCATTTTTTAGGACGGAAATATTCTAAGTGGGGGAGAGTTGTAACAACCCGATTTAATTAGAATTGTTTTTAATTAAATAATTAGAGGATGGGGTGTTAGAACAAGGGTTCTTAAATGCAAGAAGTTCAAGGGAAAAGGAAGTGAACCAACACAATTGATGATATTGTAGATATTACTGAACTTTCATGATGTATTTGGCTTATGTATTTTTGTTATGTTGAACAAATTGGAGACATGATGTATTTTATTTTTCCTTTATTGGCTTTATGTATTTATGTTATATTGTATTTTGAGTCATGAACAATTTCAACATGTGACCTTGTTATGATGTATTATGCCATTTGACTTTATGTATTTTGGATACATTAACCATCATTATATTTTGGTAATATTTGATTGGCTTTATGATGTACCTTTGTTGTATCTTGGTTATGCCTTTTTACCTCTTATCTTATTTTAGATGATTAATAAATAGGAAAGATAACAATAAAATTACAACATACAAGAACCAAAATCAAAACATCATATTCATTCATTAAATATGCATTACAGGTTGAACTAAGGATGAAATTCATAATGATTGTTTGTTATAGGCACGAAAAACAAAAAACAATACAATCTAATTCAAATGGGAATCACTACCATTCCTAGTAAGCAATGAACAAACTCCATGACACAATCAAAATAAGCTTGAACAAATTGGTTTTTCTCCTTTCTTTTTGGCAAAATACCTTTTTTAGTCCTTTAAGTTTACCCCAATGTCCATTTTGGTCCTTTATCTAAAAAAAGTGTCAAACTGGTCTTATAATTCTTTCAAAAGGACCATAGGAGTCCTTTCCGTCCATTTTGGTCCTTTTTGGTTCATTGGAGAAGCTGCAAAATGAGTTTGGTGGAGCAAAGATGAAGATACATCATCTAAAGGAAAGGAAGGATGGGCTGAAACATAAGATAATGGAGTTACAAATTGAAATGAAGAAGGATGGGCTGAAACATAAAGGACCAAAATAGACGGAAAGGACTCCTATGGTCCTTTTGAAAGAATTATAGGACCAGTTTGACACTTTTTTTAGATAAAGGACCAAAATGGACCTTGGGGTAAACTTAAAGGACCAAAAAGGGTATTTTGCCTTTCTTTTTCTATCTTCATCTTTATTTTCTATTTTTTTATAATCTCAAACTCCTTAACTATGCAACCTAAATCCTTCATAACCTTTGAGCAATTGCATATACTTGAAGTTATGGGTTCACTTAATGTGTTTCATTTAAGTTCATCATCCCCTATGAACAACTTGCAACTTGACATTAACCTAGAGTTTTGACACTTTCAATATCTCTGTTTAGGCTTTTCAAGTGAGTTTGACATAAATAATTTCATTGATCTATTGCAACTACATACTGACAATTGAAAAAAACACACACACACACATAGAGAGAGAGAGAGAGAGGAATTTGCAAAATGATAATTTTTTTTGAATTTCATCCCTCCTTTTATTAATTATGCGTTGCAATTTTTCATATAATAATGAGTGTCTTAATAAAAATAAAAAATAATAAAAATGAGGTTAGCAAGATTTATCACATGAATTTTTTTAATAAAACGTTGATGCCAGAAACCAGCATATATGGATTTGAAAAAAAAATTGATATAGAGACCAAAATCAAACATTCGCCAACTTATCAAAAATAAACTATTTAAGCCTATTATTTTTAATAAGTTAAATATTCTCTGTACGTAACAACGAAATAGACCATTCATTTAAATAAATAATCCTAGTTAACCAGTAAAAAAATGTCTTACCATTGAGTACTTTTTGCTTTTGGATAGGTTGATTTGATTTTTCAATGGAAAAAAACTTAGGTGTATTTTCTTAAGTGTGGTTTATATATTTTTCCAATAAAAATATGATAAATATATAATTTTCTCATACATATATATAATTTCTTCTTATTTTTACTTCTTAAAAGATATTTAAATATATTTATCATATTTTTATTAGAAAAAAAGTATAAATCATATTTATAAAATTGTATCCAAATAGTTTTCTTCTTAATAAAGAGTGATTAATTTTATAAGATTTTTTATTTATTCAAAATAAAACAATTAGACTTTTCCAAATCATATATGATTACAAACTTTGGATTTTTAGGTTTCTTAACTTTACGACCCAAGAATTTGAATAAAATTAGGGTTTACACAAACACAGGAAAGTTCCTTACTCAGTCTCCACACGCTCTCTCTCCCTCGAGTTTCCCTCTGCTCTCAATTTTCTCAGGTTAGATTCTCAATTCATTTTCTTTCTTCATAATTTGTTTACCTTTTTCATAATTTTTTTTGTAGTATATGATGAATACTATTCACCGATTATACACACTAGTAAATAATTTAGTTATTTTTTTGTTGTTAGGGTTAACAACATGAAGGCAAAATATCCAACCGAAGAAAAGTTACTTAGAGAATTTATCAACCTAACCAATTTGAGTCATTTCACTGAGGTATACAACAGGCTGATGCTTATTAAGGAAAGCAAGAAGAAGGCATATAATGAAGCAATCTGTTCAACTTATAACAAGCAATTATGTATTTTTGTTTGTTGTATGATAAATGAGTTATCTTCTGGATTCCTCACCCCTGTGATAACAGTACTGGATGCCATAGGTATAAAACCTACAGTTTATCCCTCAGAAACCTACTACTAAACATTTGATGAACAAAAAATATATGTTTGTCAAACTGATAACAAATTAAGAATACATCAATTCGTGGACAACCGTGAACGGGGCAATGCACGGGGTTTATGTAAGTTGTTGGATTGGCCTACAATACTTGTTTACTTTGGTTGTTGTATACTTATCCTTTTCAATAAGTTTACCAGTGAGGAAAACTATAAAACTTTCATGACAGAGTCTATTCGTCATCTTAGAGAGAGAGCTAGATGTGATCCCGATGTTAAGCTTGATATCCCATTTGATTTTAAAGAAGCTAACGCAATCAAAACTATGATTGGTTCTTGTTCAACTCTTTGCAGTCATTCAATTGAGTTTCTTTTGTGGCACATGAACTGCCAAAATTCAGGAATAGGTTTTGTATGTCAATATTTGGGAAATGAGTTAGCTTGGATGGATATGCATCATTTGGTTCTCATGAACGACTATTTAGTTACATCTAAATCTCCTGTGTTACGCGATCTTAGAGTTTCAAGAGAGGTGGAAGATTTAAATCGAGCCATTACAAAAGTTTCTTCCTATCGTTACCCTCAGTTCTACATGTTTATGGTTTCTAATTTGGAAAGGTTTAAAATAGAACCTTTTGTATTTCCTACTTTAATTGCCGTTGCACAGGTGCTGGAGAAAGGTGACTACAATGTTACAAATCTTGAATCATCTTCAACTAAAGCTGCAAATTTATCCATGGTGCAATCTTTGGTAACACTTCACCAAACAGCTTTTCCACAAAATCATTCAAGCCCTTCGAGTGTGCAAATGCAAGCGGTGAAAGAAGAGAATCGTCAAAAGCGTTCAAGGACTCCAATGGAACAAAAGAATCAAATCTTAAGGGCTTCAAATGTGCAAATGCCACCTATAATACAAGAGAAGACTCATTTGATTATCTTGGATTAGTAGACTCACTATATCATTCTTTTATTTTGAGATTACCAACTAAATGCTTGGTTTTGAGACTTTTATGAAGTTTTTTTCAGATAGTTACTTTTACATTCTCAATAAAATTACTATATGTACGCAGCTTAGCAATATATAGCAATGTTAGTTCAGAATGGTCTGTTATGTGGTATCGTTTTGCAGGAAACGAGAAGTTCTTCTCAAGATAGCAAACAATTTTAAATAATAACTAAATGGAAGTGTTATTTTTATGTCACGTGCGCCAGATATCTATTAAACTCAATCTCTATCTCTCTATTTTGTGTATAAAATGAATTTTCAGGTTACAGGAGAGTTAGGAACACTTCCATTTTAATATTCTCCCAAAAACACCCACTTTCTTATTAGAAAAAATAAATGCACGTCTTTCAATCAATTATATATATATATATATATATATATATATATATATATATATATATATATATATATATATATATATATATATATATATATATATATATATATATATATATATATATATATATATATATATATATATATATATATATATATATATATATATATATATATATATATATATATATATATATATATATATATATATATATATATATATATATATATATATACACACACACACACGAGTCTTTCATTTAGAAATAGATCTCATACAAATTGGTAGAATTCATGTGTTTTAATTTATAAAAGATTAAGTGTTACCGAGTGTTAAAAAAGAATATTTCTAGCATTCCTCTTCAAGTTAGAGGAGTACTAGGAATACTTTCAAACATTCATTCTCTTATTGAGTGAAATACATGTGGGTTCCTCTTCCCCATCTTGGAAATTGGTCTCACGTAAAGTGGTTGGACCCATATGTATTTTCTCCAATAAAAGACTGAATGTTAGAGAGAGTGTTAAAAAGAGTGGTATTGATACTTCTCTATGATTTAACAGATATTCACTACTGCGAAAAAGGGATACCACAACGGCTGACCAACCGCTGTGAGGTAAGGTATGGTTGTATATATGATATCTTATATCACGATCGCGCGATCATGATTATATGTCAGAAAGCACGCTAACTATCACAACGGTTACTTTAAAAAACTGTTGGGATATACTTTAATGAAAACTTTTAACAACGGTTGTTCTAAACAACCATTGTGATATATACACTGAGTTTATTATAAAATATGTGAAATGTTTATTTCTCCAATACTCACTAAACATATAACCTTTCAGTCTGATCTAAAATATTATAATATGAAAAATTAAGTTATATTAGAAGAACAATTTACACGTTCAATGCTAAACAAGAATTCTTCATCTCTTTTCAGTATTTTACTCTTTAATTGTTAGAACTTATTTTAATGCTCCTAGTTTTTCAATTCCCCTTCCTTCACCGCTAATTCAATTTGAAACATATTACATTGCAAACTAAATTAGAGATGAAGGAAGAGGAGGTTTAAAAATATGAAGGGTTAATATAAATTCTCACTATTAAACAGCAAAATGTAGATAATGGACTGAATGATTCTTGTCTAGAATTGAACGTGTAACTTGTTTTCAAATATAAATTTATCTATCATATTATAATTTTCTAATGTAATCCGAAAAGTTATATATTTGGTAAGATGTTTTAAAAACACTCAAACCACATAAGATGTAATAAACTCATCTAAAACAAATATTAACAACAACATTCATCAACAATAAACCTTAATCAACATAAAACTTATATGTAATAAGAACAACATCAACTCATAAAATGTGTCAGAAACGTACATGTCCCATAATAGAATCAAAAAATGAAAAGAAAGGAGGATGAAGCTGAAGAGAGAGCAGCAAACATGTGTTAATCAGTACGTTTGCAATGGTAACACAAGTTTGCTATGCTAATTTTAGCTTCATCCTCATTAATTTTTTCATTTATCCATCCATACCTACAAGTCAAAACAAGCAGAATCATAAACGTAAACATAAATAGGTCAAAACAAGCATAATCATAAACATAAACATAATCAAGTCAAAACATTATAAAACATCATATTGAAATCTAAAGAATAATAAATAAAAAGAGTTTGAATCATAAACGAAATCGCTGGGTAGGTTTAGTGAAGAAGAACCTGAAGGTACCCATAGGATTGAAGAAAACAAAATCGTTGCATACGTCTGGGGTTTTGTTTTGAGAGAGAAGAGATGAGTGATTGTATAAGTTAGGGTTTTGTTTTGACAGAGAAGAGTGAAATATGTTAGGATTTTCTTATTCCTGGAAAACTCAGGGAGATGGAATTGTTGAGCAAAAGACTAGAGCAATACAAGAATCATCTAGATTCATGCTTAGTGCTAAGCAATTGCCATTTTAATTTTGGGCTGAAGCTATGAATACTGCTTACTATATTCATAATAGGGTCACTTTGAGAGAAGGTACAATCACTACTTTCTATAAGTTTTGGAAAGTAATGAAACCTAAAGTTAAATGCTTTCATATCTTTGGAAGTAAATGTCAGATCTTTATTTCTGGGTTACTCTTCAAGCAGAAGAGCGTATAGGGTTTATAACTCCATAACTGGTATGACAATGGAATCTATCAATGTGAAAATTGATGATTCAATTACTAAAGAGAAGGAGGGTGTCAGAGATAATGTTGGAACATCGCATGTGCAACCGTATGAAGCACTAAGATAGGATATTTGTGAATTCACAAACACTAAGTCAGTCAATTCTCAATCGATCACAGGGATGTCTACTGAGCAACAGAAAGATCAAACCAGGGAACTGAATGCAAGTCACCCTAATAAAGGTAACATCACTACATTTAAAAATATAATATCAAGTATAAATGGATGTGTTGCCTTAAGGAAAACAAGAGGAAGTTTCTCTGAACTAGTGTTGAAGAGATATGATGTCAAGAAATATGTAAGGACCTTGGTAGTTGCAATCAACTAATCAAGAAACTTATTGAAAGGAAGGTTGTAACTCTAGAGCAAATGGAAAACAAGGAACAACTTGTTGTTAAAAAAATAGTGGGATTGGAACTTGTACTATTGAAGACTTATAGCAATTACAGAAATGGGGGAATGCAACTAAAGTTGCATCTTTCCTCTATACTCTAAGGAATAACATGTCTGGATAAATTGCTACTGAGAAGTGATGGAAGGAAGATATTCTGCATGATTGTAGGGTTGTCTACAACACCAAGGAATACATAAGGCTCTTTGATAGGGAAAAAAGGCTCTTTTGAAATTATGGTATTCAGGTCTCAGATGTCCTAATACATGTCAAGACATTGATCTATGAGCATAACACGCAACAACAAGGTAAACATACATAAAATAATACTGAAAAGTAAAGGAACACACAAAATTTTTAATCCAATTTGATATACAATAACATCTACTTTAGGGGCTACCAAGCCAGAAAGGAAGTCCACTATTAGCATTATTATCTCAAAGCTAAACTAGTCCCGAGTTTACAACTTCTCGCCTAATCACTACCTAATGCTACTTCTACCTAGGTCCTCCCTAGAAATGAGAAATCGACATCCTACTTTCAATCACTACAGTGATAAAAGACCTATCACAATCACAGGGTTGTCTATAAACAAGTCACAATCACAAGAACTTGAAACCAAAACTAAACTGAAGTTTACACTTCAATCACAAATACCTAGTCTTGCTTAAAAGCTTCAACCAAGAACAATACTCGGATTTGCTTACAAGCTTACTCCAAGAACAATAATCAACTTTATGCTTAAAAGCTCATGAGTGATTCATAGTTACAACTCAACTAACAACATTCCTCTTCTTCTATCAACGTGATATTAGATATGCTCACAAATAACACAAACCAACTCTTCTAGAGAGTGGCTCACAGAAGAAGCCCTAATATATGATAATTTTACATACTTGACTCATATCTACTTTAGGTTTAGAATCTTCTATTTATAACCTTTTTCTGAACTGGATTTAGGTTTCAAAACACAACAAAATAGCTTCTAAAAATGCTCTAAGATATTCTCCACAAATTTAAGACTTCAATCATTTAGTTTCCTAAAAAATCTCCATATTTAGAAACTGAGAATACTCCTTAAAAACATATAGAATCTTCTATCCTTAAATTGAGCGCCACATAGGATTGCATAATATTCCCAAAATATTCTATGTGTGTAACAAAGTAACAATTTCCAAATGTCCAGTTGTACACAGACACAATGTCGGATGATTCTTCATATGACATATTTATTCGACATATTTCTCTAGTTGATACAACATCTTATTTCAATATTTCTATGCTAAGTTAGTTTTACCAAACATAATGTCAATCACAACAAAATAGAGAATTAACAATCCTCTTTTGGCTTATTTTGGCTAAAACAACTTAGTACTTCTTCCACACATGAACAACAATATAGCTCAGGTTTAAAAAAAACTCAAACACACAAATAATCAGAGACACAACAATATAGGTCAGTACAAGACATATCAGAGCAACAACTAGAGGAAGCTACTCAACATAACACATAAGAGAATATCAAATTCTCAACATGTCAGGACATCATGTTTGACAAATCTCCACAGCAGTTCAGTCCAGAGAACAAAACCTGCTAAACATGATAAGTGTCATACTCTAAATTTGTCTTACCCTTATTTCAGTTCATCTGGTTTATTAAATTTCATTTGCATACTTACCATTAGGTCATATTCATTGCTACACTCATGTGATCAAGGTTTTTAGGGTTCCTCATGGCTCAAGATTATCCATTAGGCAAGAGTTTGAGTTTCTCAGAGAAAGTTGTGTGGGATCTAATTTTAATGAGCCTCTTATTGATACAAGTTCACTGGCTCCTTGGATTTCTCAAGAATCTCTGAAAAATTAGGGTTTGATCTTCAGTAACCATCTCCTAAGCTATTCAATGAAAAATTAGGGTTTTGGCCCTTTTCAAGTTGTAAGCATCATTTTCATCAAGCAAACATATATAAGAAGTTTTTCTCATT